CCTTAAAAAACTTTCCTGAATTACCCATGTTGTTTGTTTAAACTTGCACATCCGTTTCTGGCAGATTCTTGTTGTCTAACATTGTAAGTAGTGGCAACAGTTTGTTAAGTATTATAATATGTGTGCATGCCATTTGTAATAATGATCTCCTCTGTGGTCTTAAATACATCATCCGCCACCCCACCTCAAGACTTTAGGGGCATGTCCGGGACCAGAAACTTACAGCAACTTTCTCATGTAGGGCATTAACCCAGGGGGTCTGACGCCCGGCAGGGACACTTCATTGGGTCAGACATGAGAGTTACCCACTCTCTGACTGTATACGAAACTGGATTCATGTGCAAACTCAGATTGTTCTTCTTCTACCTTTCTGCCAATGGAGCATATGCCCTCAACCAGCTAACGCCATGTCGTTCTGTTCTTTGCTATCGCATACAGCTCCCCCCATGTCGCATACAGCTCTCCCCATGTCGCATACAGCTCTCCCCATGTCGCATACAGCTCTCCCCATGTCGCATACAGCTCTCCCCATGTCGCATACAGCTCTCCCCATGTCGCATACAGCTCTCCCCATGTCGCATACAGCTCTCCCCATGTCGCATACAGCTCTCCCCATGTCGCATACAGCTCCCCCCATGTCGCATACAGCTCTCCCCCATGTCGCATACAGCTCTCCCCATGTCGCATACAGCTCTCCCCATGTCGCATACAGCTCTCCCCATGTCGCATACAGCTCTCCCCATGTCGCATACAGCTCTCCCCATGTCGCATACAGCTCTTCCCATGTCGCATACAGCTCTCCCCATGTCGCATACAGCTCCCCCCCCCCCATGTCGCATACAGCTCCCCCCATGTCGCATACAGCTCTCCCCATGTCGCATACAGCTCTCCCCATGTCGCATACAGCTCCCCCCATGTCGCATACAGCTCCCCCCATGTCGCATACAGCTCTCCCCCATGTCGCATACAGCTCTCCCCATGTCGCATACAGCTCCCCCCATGTCGCATACAGCTCCCCCCATGTCGCATACAGCTCCCCCCATGTCGCATACAGCTCTCCCCATGTCGCATACAGCTTTCCCCATGTCGCATACAGCTCTCCCCATGTCGCATACAGCTCTCCCCATGTCATCCCTATCTTCACTCTCTAGCTCCCGTCTCCGTGTGTTTTTTGGTCTTCCTTTTTTTTTCTTTCCTCCGTTGGGATCCAGTGCAAAGACATTCTAGTTTTCTCACCGCGTATCCTATCCAACGCCAGCATCTTTTCTTCACTACTGGAACTTGTTTAGTTCTCTCACAAAGAAACTCGGACTGTCACCCCCACTCTAAACCCTGAGATGTGGATACGGGGCTCTAGTCTCCTCAGATAAGAGCAGTAACTAGGAGCTCACTAGCATGTTAAAAAATCCATCGATAAGCCGGACATCTCTGAGTCTGTGGAATAATATCATGTAGCAGTTCCTTTGCAGAACCTGGTTCTCATTACGGTCTGTCTGACAGATATATATATATATATATATATATATATATATATATATATATATATATATATATATATATATATATATATATATATATATATATATATATATATATATATATATATATATATAAACTACTGCCTCCGCCCAATTACATTTCTCTTGTGACATTGATGTCAAGAGACAGGGACCGTCACACGGACATTTTTTCACAGTCACTCATTGCTTATGCTTAAAATAAAGACTGAGATGAACTTGACTCGAAACCTGTGGTCTGAATCTCCGAGGAGGTCGCTGATGACGAACATCTGTTCCATGTTTGTGCCAGGTCGTAGGGGTGTAAGAGTAATTCAACTAGCTGACGAGGTGCACAGGTACATCGCCACCTGTGGTAGTTGGCCAGGACCGGGGCTAATACTGGTGCAGGCTTATCTACAGCTCTAGCCACCTGTGGTAGTTGGCCAGGACCGGGGCTAATACTGGTGCAGGCTTATCTACAGCTCTAGCCACCTGTGGTAGTTGGCCAGGACCGGGGCTAATACTGGTGCAGGCTTATCTACAGCTCTAGCCACCTGTGGTAGTTGGCCAGGACCGGGGCTAATACTGGTGCAGACTCATCTACAGCTCTAGCCACCTGTAGTAGTTGGCCAGGACCGGGGCTAATACTGGTGCAGGCTTATCTACAGCTCTTTGTGGTCGTCCTTGAAATATGTTGACACCGGCTGCCTGGATGAGATCGATGCTTCCTTCCACGGTGGAGTGCATATGCGTGGGAAGAGATGAACCATCAGTCCGCACATGATTAAGACATGTTTAAATGTCTGAGAAAAATCATGAACAAATAAGGAATGAATTTTTTTTTTTTTTAAATTAAAGAGATCAGAGAAATGTCTAGACAAATACCTGTATCGACTGCAATAAGACAAATACGGTATGTTTTGCACACTTTGAGACGGAATGAGCCATCAATTACAGAACAGGCACTGAAATGGGAATCATTCGGTCTGAGAAAAAGAGGTCGTCCATGGCAAACGTTAAGAAGAACATTATTACGGGAAGCTAAAAACGCTGGGCTGAACTCCATGTCAGAAATCGAGAGAGTGGCATGCAATAGAGCGGAGTGGAGTAATTAATGCAAGCCTATGTGACGTCGAACGGCACACACAAGACGATGATGATGGCGGGTGAGCAGTAAAGTCCCTGAGTAAGACTAAAGTGCAAGGGTAGAATAACTATGACTTTCTACTGGAGTCTTCAACCGGTGAACGCCAAGAAGAAGATTGTAGGCAGTGTGTATGCAGGTCATGCGGCTATCCCCTCCCCTCCCGACCACTTGTTGCCTCTCCTTGTTTGGCTAATTATTGCAAAGTTCAGCATGTCATGTACGTGGACAGATCACTTCTACTAGTTGACAGTCAGTCATCTTTGTTGTTGACGGGGCTGGACCCTGCCGATGACTACGGTTGTGTGTTTGACACAGTACATCCGACTGGAGACGTGTCGTTACCAAGGTAATCTCGCTCAGTTAATGGCTGTCATCTGAAGGATACACACAGCATCACTGCGGCCGAAAGAAGCCGGATAGGAGGCACTGTCGCCTTCTGGGAATATGTTTCTTTGGCTACCCACCGTCTTGTAAAGGGTTTGTCACAAACGTGGGGACTAGTGCTTGCTTTAGCGTACACTAGTTTTCTGCCACCACTTGCTGAAGTGTGTACCTTGTAACAGACCCCTTGCGGCATTACAAATAAGGATTTAATGGAGCTACATGTGGTCAGTGCCCTTTGTGAGCAAATGAACGGTGCAACAGCGTCAATAGGCCATTACGGTGGGGGGGGGGGGGAGAAACTGACGCGGCGGGAAATGACCAGAGGATGCGGCCAACAATCTACACTCAGACAAGTCGAACATATAGTTAAACTGGTACTGGTACCATCAGAATTGAACTCTTGGATGTCTGCTGAGGATGGGGACGAAGCGCGCATGGGAATGTCCCGAGCGCTTTGATGTCGGATCTTGATTCAACTCACCACAAAGAATCTGATGGTAGGTTGTGCTCTGAGTGCATCTGTGATATTGAGTCGTGAACAGGGATTCAGTGTTTGATCATTTTGAGTCATCTTGCAAGCTGTTCTTTGATCAACCACTCTTTGCAAGGATCCCCAGTGATTGCCACGTCATTGGTGTACTCTTTGGGAGGATCTGTGATAGTTTCATGCACTGGTTGATGCATTCAGTATTATCCCTGTGTGGATAAAACACCGACTCAACAACTCATTTGAGGTTCCACACCCAACAGCAATATGTGTCCACTGAGCACCCCATTAACCTGAGTGAGTAGAACTAGCCTGACGACTTGGTTGGACGGGCAAGTCAGCCTCTCGTTTACAGAAGACATCTGACCATCAAGACCGTTTGGTTATGGGCAGGCCTCAGGAAAGAGGGGTGTGGCCGGTACATTGTTCCGGGAATCGTGGAGCTCAAAGGAGGCCCATGAAGAAGAGGGACCATTTTAACAAAACCCCCAAAAAAAAATCACTACTGGATATATACTTCGTACTGTATACTTTGTGTGTACAGCAAAAACCCTCTTGCTGCCTTGGGTGACTTTGCCTCTGTTAACAGTGGAGAGACACTGGGGAAAATAGAGAGAGAGAAAACAATTATTTTTTGATTTGTACATTAAACTAATATCAAGTTCTAGTTAAAGCGTGATCATTTCTGTATAATCTAGCCATTACTTGTCCATCTTAGGGTGGTTGGTTTTTAAAATATAATTTTGTGTTTGAAATTGACATGGGCAGTGGTTTTCCCAGACGTATCACAGAAATTATGGTCATGTCGGGACTAGTGAATCAGATGAAGTATCATGGTGTGCCCATGTGTGCGTGAGGGCAGATACGTGACCTGTTTCCAGCACGGCGGGCCTGGTTCTGGGACTGGACGAGGCTAGTGAATGATAGACGTGGAGAAGGACAACATGTTTGTGAACATGTATGTCTGTATGCGTGGAAGTGGTGTTATATGTGGCCTTGCGTCCGTGTGCAATGAGCTTTTGTCATTTACAGGTGGCAGGTGAAACTCCGCGTGTGCCTGTATCTTTTTTAATGTTTCATTTGTTCTCATTTGTCTACTTCCCCCTGTGTGTCCCAGGGTCCCAGTTTTTTTTTTTTTTTTTTTTTGGGGGGGGGGGGGGGGGGCGGGCATATCCCAGTTGCTTAACATGCATGTCGTAAAAGTCACTGATGCAAGATTTGCGAAATGGGATGTGTTGGGCCGAAAGACAGTTATAACAGCGTGCCCTTTTAAAGACTGACGTAAAAGAACAGGAAGAAAGTGTCCATTTCTGCCCGTTCTTCACTATTAATACCCGAACTGTCAATACTCAGTAATGTCTTTCAGTGGAATGTCATATCGGGTCAGAGGTTACAAGCTGTCACCATTTATTGTTGTCCAGATGCAGATCTTTCTCCCCCCCCCCCCCACCACCACGTGATGCCCAATGCTTTGTGTCCTCAGAGTTTGATTGACGTGTCGTTGGTGACGCCCATCCAGGATTCATCTGTCTACAGGTTCCCGCTGGATTTGGTGTCAGACCTGCTGCAGGAGGTGAGTTCTCTCGTCTTCTACACTAGATGTCTCTCTCTCTCTCTCTCTCTCTCTCTCTCTCTCTCTCTCTCTCTCTCTCTCTCTCTCTCTCTCTCTCTCTCTGGATCAAAGATAAATTTACTTCATATGTACATCGCATACACATAATACATAACAGTCACACACATAACAGTTATAGAAGACAACAGACAACGCACACAAGAATTAACAATCGGACACGCAATGAACAAATTTACGTAACGGACAATGGATGTACAGTAAGTATAACCTCAGTAGCTAATACAGTAGCAAACTTTATATCCATTCCATGACTGAGCTTTATATCCATTCTGTGACTGAGCTTTATATCCATTCCATGACTGAGCTTTATATCCATTTCATGACTGAGCTTTATATCCATTCTGTGACTGAGCTTTATATCCATTCCATGACTGAGCTTTATATACATTTCATGACTGAGCTTTATATCCATTCTGTGACTGAGCTTTATATCCATTTCATGACTGAGCTTTATATCCATTTCATGACTGAGCTTTATATCCATTCTGTGACTGAGCTTTATATCCATTTCATGACTGAGCTTTATATCCATTTCATGACTGAGCTTTATATCCATTTCATGACTGAGCTTTATATCCATTTCATGACTGAGCTTTATATCCATTTCATGACTGAGCTTTATATCCATTTCATGACTGAGCTTTATATCCATTTCATGACTGAGCTTTATATCCATTTCATGACTGAGCTTTATATCCATTTCATGACTGAGCTTTATATCCATTTCATGACTGAGCTTTATATCCATTTCATGACTGAGCTTTATATCCATTTCATGACTGAGCTTTATATCCATTTCATGACTGAGCTTTATATCCATTTCATGACTGAGCTTTATATCCATTTCATGACAGCTTTATATCCATTTCATGACAGCTTTATATCCATTTCATGACAGCTTTATATCCATTTCATGACAGCTTTATATCCATTTCATGACTGAGCTTTATATTCATTTCATGACAGCTTTATATCCATTTCATGACTGAGCTTTATATCCATTTCATGACAGCTTTATATCCATTTCATGACAGCTTTATATCCATTTCATGACAGCTTTATATCCATTTCATGACAGCTTTATATCCATTTCATGACTGAGCTTTATATCCATTCCATGACTGGGCTTTATATCCATTCCGTGACTGAGCTTTATATCCATTCCATGACTGGGCTTTATATCCATTCCGTGACTGAGCTTTATATCCATTCCATGACTGAGCTTGTCTGGTAAATAACTCGTTTCGCGAAGATATTTCCCCCCATTTAAAATAAATGAATTCAATTCATTGCAACCCTGCAGAAATAATAATAATACAAATCCGTTTTTGTAATGGTTTCGTTATGGTCATCAAGTTCCTTGTCGACAGACTAGCGACTCTCTTCGGCAATATTGACATGACCTGATTCAATGGAAATGTATCCAGACGCTGTGGGGTAAAACTGAGAGCTCTTCTCTCTCCAGCTGGCTTCAAAGATTTCCTCTCGTATTCCGGGACAACAACAAACAACGAGAGCTCTCCTCTCTCCAGCTGGCTTCAAAGATTTCCTCTCGTATTCCGGGACAACAACAAACAACGAGAGCTCTCCTCTCTCCAGCTGGCTTCAAAGATTTCCTCTCGTATTCCGGGACAACAACAAACAATGTGGCGAGAGGTTCAGGCCCCAGTGAAGGCTGGGATTTTTTTTCCTCGTGGACTTCTAGTTTTTCCCTCCTGGTCTCTGGGTAGTAAAATCGGGACGCCCATGTGTACGATTGCGCACGTAAAAATCCCTTGGCAGTTGGAAATCGAAAAGAGAAGCGAATCGGCGCTGCCCGTGCACAATTTAGAGTTAAAAGTCTACATAAAATATTTTCAGTCAGGATCCTCGCCGGTGCTACGGAGTTCATGCACTGTGCTGAGATTCTTCGAACTCAGGCTTGAGTCAGAAGGGGAACGTAGCACTTACGTGTTACCCTTGTGCCATGATGTTGATCTGTCGTCTAAACCTACACATATGCCATTATGTTGATCCGTCGTCTAAACCTACACATATGCCATTATGTTGATCTGTCGTCTAAACCTACACATGTGCCATAATGTTGATCTGTCGTCTAAACCTACGCATGTGCCATAATGTTGATCTGTCGTCTAAACCTACACATGTGACATGATGTTGATCTGTCGTCTAAACCTACACATGTGCCATAATGTTGATCTGTCGTCTAAACCATCTAAACCAAAACTTGTGCCATAATGTTGATCTGTCGTCTAAACCTACACATGTGCCATTATGTTGATCTGTTGTCTAAACCTACACATGTGCAATAATGTTGATCTGTCGTCTAAACCTACACATGTGACATGATGTTGATCTGTCGTCTAAACCTACACATGTGCCATGATGTTGATCTGTCCTCTAAACCTACACATGTGACATTATGCCTGAAAACTGATCTTATCAGGAACAGTTGAGAATGTAACCCTGAATGTTGTCGGGTCTTCTTGGGTCTCCTTGGGTACAGCAGTAAGTAAAGTTCCCTTTTCACGCCTTTCGGCGCATCGGGCAAATGGGCAGAGCGTCCCATATTTTTACAGACCATCAGCACTCTGTGGGTGATGTGGTCAGCATTACGTCGGCTGTCTTTACTTTCCCAGGACAGCCTGGTACCCATTTTAGGCTGGGTCGACCTGCGACGTCCCATACCACGATAAAAATCCACGCATCCCACGCAGGTTTCGATCGCGCTATGCTGGCTTACGAGTCGGACTCGCAACGCCTTAGCCACGGACGCCACATAGGTACAGCAGTGCTCACTTAATACTGAACATAATGTGGTTTTTGCGACATGTTATATAAGTCCTGACCGTGTACAGTAAATGTTGTTTGTTGTAATGGCCGATTCTCTCAGACGGTTGAGATATGAGTGATAACAGAACAGAGATATGTGTTAGTTGTGTGTCCTTCACAGGACGTTGCAGAACCAACCACAGCATTGATTTTATTGTCTAATGTGGTTTTTCTAGGCAAGTAGTTTGCTATTGCACGAAACTGTTGGTTCTCGATATCACTGTCGAAACCAACGCAAGACGGTCTGCTGCCAGATCGTCTGCAGTAGAAAGATGAGACAGTTTAAGATTTGAGTGATAACAGTACAACGATTAAACGGTTTAAAACATTAGTGATAACAGTGCAAAGATAAGAAGGTTTAAAACACAAATGATAACAGTACAAAATTGTGACGGTTTCAATGTCTTAGTGGTTGTGGTTCATTTTTCAGACCGTTTGAACGTCTTTATGGTGTCTGTACAAAGCTAAGCGGTTAAAACACCTTAGTCGTGGTTGCGTTGTGAGAAAACAGTTAAATAGGCTCAGCGATGGCGACATAAAGACGAGCCTGGTGTGTTTAAACAGAGCAGTCGGTGGTGGAATGATCGGGAGCCTAAAGATTAATATCCTTGTAATGTTTGCAAGATCTGTGAGAGGGGGACACCGCCACGACGTGAGACACTCAGCAGCCAGCCTCCATTAGTTGCGTGTTTCCGCAGATCGATATCACGGGATGGTCTGGCTGGAGTGTCTGCAGGCAGGCAGACCTGTCAATTGATAAACATATATCTGTGTGGATGTGTTGGAGCAGAATTGGGCAGCATCTTTCTATTGTAGGCTCCATCAGTGTTATGTGGGTGATCTCTCTGCTATCCTGGTTGCAGCTAGCCTGTCACGAAGCAGCTGAAATGTCGTTACACAACTGAATAGATCGACGGCCTGTTTTCTGTTAAGGGATAGATCAATCACAGACCAGGACCAACCAATTTTATTCTCAAAGGGTCACAAATTGGGCGGCTTGTAGGTCCATTTTACATTTGGGCCCTTCCAAACACTCATCTCTCACACATCACATGTATTTTCTTTCTAAAGCGTCTTATGTTCATATAGCAGTACATAGAAAAAAAAAGCATGTTATGTTCATATAACAGTACATATTTTTGCTCGGCTCTCTAGCGTAGTTGGCTAAACCTGACTTCGCGGCGACCTGGTTATGAACTCCTTGTGGTCCAGGTTCACTCCCGGGAGTAGACAGAAAAGCCAAATTTCTCCCAGATTTACGGTACCTATCATGGAATCAAGGCCGAAGGGTTGCGATATCCATAGTGCCGAGCCAAAGGGTTAACAACTCATGGTTTCTGGATATTTAAAAAAAAAAAGTACATATTAAAAAAAAATAAAACCGCAAAAAGCATGTTATGTTCATATAAGAGGTCACATTAAAAAAAAAGCATGTTATGTTCATATAACAATATTCATAAACTACCAAAAGGCATCAGTGGTATATGCACGCAGACACATGCAGGCGCACACACAAAATACAACTTACATACAACCATACACACATAAGAAGAATGAATGGTGCGGTAGTAGATGTACGGTTTGTCTGCTGTAGAAGCAGGTTCACAACTGTGGTAGGAAACCTTTGTCATGTGAATACACACACACGGTTGACTAGCTGTTATTGAAGAAAGTTGTCAGCGGCTATTTTGCTGGATCGGGACATCGACACCCACAACGGTAAAAGAGGAAGTGAAGAAGAAGTTACATGGGGATGGGTGTTGCTGGTTGGCTCATAGTAGCAGTACAAGTTTTGAGTTGATTTGTCCTCATGGCACTCCGGACACGTTCATAGGATCTGACTCCCCCATTGAACTGCGTCCTGCAGTCTATAGTCTTGGCAATCTTAGTTGGCAAGACTTCTTGTACTTTCGGTGTGTGCCTCCCATGCGGGGCTGTGCAGATCTTTACTTTCAGTTCTCGCATTCTTAACAGTAATGTGAACATTCTGCTCCTAAAATCCGCCGATCATCCTATTTGTCTAAGGGTATTCGTAATGTGGGCCCAGTTCGTAGGGCGGACAGTGTGTCTGCTCTTCTAATGCCCACAACACCGGCATTATACCCTGGCTCAAAGATGAAAGTAACTCCACGCGCAGTCGAGTTTCCCGGTGACTTAGTCTACTGTCTGCGTACTTTATCCTGAATTATAACTGTCTTTGTTGTTATATCACATGTATGTCAGTTGTCGTGTCTTGATTAGAGGTGACAGGTGATCTCTTGGCACCTACAGCTGTCCGTGTCTTGATTAGAGGTGACAGGTGATCTCTTGGCACCTACAGCTGTCCGTGTCTTGATTAGAGGGGACAGGTGATCTCTTGGCACCTACAGCTGTCCGCGTCTTGATTAGAGGTGACAGGTGATCTCTTGGCACCTACAGCTGTCCGTGTCTTGATTAGAGGTGACAGGTGATCTCTTAGCACCTACAGCTGTCCCTGTCTTGATTAGAGGTGACAGGTGATCTCTTGGCACCTACAGCTGTCCGTGTCTTGATTAGAGGTGACAGGTGATCTCTTGGCACCTACAGCTGTCCCTGTCTTGATTAGAGGTGACAGGTGATCTCTTGGCACCTACAGCTGTCCCTGTCTTGATTAGAGGTGACAGGTGATCTCTTGGCACCTACAGCTGTCCGTGTCTTGATTAGAGGTGACAGGTGATCTCTTGGCACCTACAGCTGTCCGTGTCTTGATTAGAGGTGACAAGTGATCTCTTGGCACCTACAGCTGTCCCTGTCTTGGAAATCTGTTTCTGTGGTGCTGACGATCATCTGAATGGACCTTGGTCGCTTTACTGGTAGAGCTGTGCTGCCACACTAGCGTCATCACCATGGCAGTTCTCATGCTCCAGCATACGACCTCCCCCTCCCCCCTCCTCTTACACACACCCACACAGGTCTTCAGTCGGCAGCTTGTTGGCGTCGACATCCGCTATTTAAGGCTGGGTCGACTTGGGAGTAGAGGTGATTATTTAAAAAAAAAAAAAAGTCCGACTCCATTAGGACCTGAACTCACGACCCTCCGATCCGCAGGCATGCGTTTAGCCGCTACAACTCCCGCCTCCCCCCTCCAAGTAACAATAATTGGAACCTAAATTGCAACAACTAAAACTTACAAACACACACAAACGCGCGCGCGCGCACAAACGCACAATAAATATAAGACATGAAACAAGCAAACTGGAGTGTACATGCTAGTTATGAGCCGGGAATCAGATATGTCGGTTAATGGGAGTGCCAACAGGGACAGATTATCTCCCCCCTTGTGACAGGTCAGGCTGGGTCGTTGTCCATGGAAACACGCCTCTCCGGTATTGATATTGTATAAGGTTGACAACGTCCAGCGAGTTACCGGGGTTTCCTCACATCGTCCGTGCTAGTTCCCACACACTAGAGGGAATTAAGCCTGCCACAGACTGAACTGACCATCCCTCTCGGTACTCCATTGTCAAATATGTGGAGGTTTATCAATTCCTGTCGGCGCTGTGGCTAAGTCGATGCGAACGCTTCGTAATGAAATGCCGGGTTCGGTCTCAGCTGCGGGCCATGCGCCTTGCGTGGTATCAAGAAAGTAATGGCAAACTACTGGACGTAAATTTGCCTAGGGTTGGTTCTGCAAAGTCCTGTAAAGGATACGCAACAATCTTTTTTTAAATCAATTCATACGCCAGTTTTAGTGGAGATGTTACCTTTCTGTTAAAGTCACGCGCTCGCGCGCGCACACAGACAGACAGGTGGATGTATAAGTAAATGTATAAGTACCTAGGCAGACAGATAGATAGATGGATGGATAGGTAGATCAGTATGTAGACAGACAGATGGATAAATGGGTAGATAGATAGATAAGTACATAGATAGGTAGATAGATAAGTATGTAGACAAACAGATGGATGAATGGATAGGTAGATATATAAGTACATAGACAGATAGATAGATTGATGGATAGCTAGGTAGATAAGTGTGTAGACAGACAGATAGATGGATGGATAGGTAGATAGATAAGTACATAGACAGACAGATGGATGAATGGATAGGTAGATAGATAAGTACATAGACAGACAGATAGATAGATGGATGGATAGCTAGGTAGATAAGTATGTAGACAGATGAATAGATAGATGGATGGATAGGTAGATAGATAAGTATGTAGACAGATGAATAGATAGATGGATGGATAGGTAGATAGATAAGTATGTAGACAGATGAATAGATAGATGGATGGATAGGTAGATAGATAAGTATGTAGACAGATGAATAGATAGATGGATGGATAGGTAGATAGATAAGTATGTAGACAGATAGATGGATGGATAGGTAGATAGATAAGTATGTAGACAGATGAATAGATAGATGGATGGATAGGTAGATAGATACGTATGTAGATAGATAGATGGATGGATAGGTAGATAGATAAGTATGTAGACGGATATATAGATTGATGGATGGATAGGTAGATAGATAAGTGTGTAGACATATAGATAGATGGATGAATAGGTAGGTAGATAAGTATGTAGACATATAGATAGATTGATGGATAGGTAGTTAGATAAGTATGTAGACATATAGATTGATGGATGGATAGGTAGATAGATAAGTATGTAGACATATAGATTGATGGATGGATAGGTAGATAGATAAGTATGTGGACATATAGATGGATGGATAGGTAGATAGATAAGTATGTAGACAGACAAATAGATAGATGGATGGATAGGTAGATAGATAAGTATGTAGATATATAGATAGATGGATGGATAGCTAGATAGATAAGTATGTAGACAGACGAATAGATAGATGGATTGATAGGTAGATAGATAAGTATGTAGATATATAGATAGATGGATGGATAGGTAGATAGATAAGTATGTAGACAGACGAATAGATAGATGGATGGATAGGTAGATAGATAAGTATGTAGATATATAGATAGATGGATGGATAGCTAGATAGATAAGTATGTAGACATATAGATAGATGGATGGATAGGTAGATAGATAAGTATGTAGACATATAGATAGATGGATGGATAGGTAGATAGATAAGTATGTAGACAGACGAATAGATAGATGGATGGATAGGTAGATAGATAAGTATGTAGACATTTAGATAGATGGATGGATAGGTAGATAGATAAGTATGTAGACATATAGATAGATGGATGGATAGGTAGATAGATAAATATGTAGACATATAGATAGAGGTATGGATAGATAGATAGATAAGTACATGGACAGATAGGTGGATGGATAGGTAGATAGATAAGTATGTAGACATATAGATAGATGGATGGATAGGTAGATAGATACGTATGTAGATAGATAGATGGATAGATAGGTAGAAAGATAAGTATGTAGACATATAGGTGGATGGATGGATAGGTAGATAGATAAGTATGTAGACATATAGATAGATGGATGGATATGTAGATAGATAAGTATGTAGACAGATAGATGGATGGACAGGTAGATAGATAAGTATGTAGACATATAGATAGATGGATGGATAGGTAGATAGATAAGTATGTAGACAGATAGATGGATGGATGGATAGGTAGATAGATAAGTATGTAGGCATATAGATAGATTAAAGGATAGGTAGATAGATAAGTACTTAGACATATCGATAGATGGATGGATAGGTACTTAGATAAATAGATGGATGGATAGGTAGATAGATAAGTAGACATATAGATAGAGGGATGGATAGATAGATAGATAAAGTATCTGGATTGATAGATGGATGGATAGGTAGATAGATAAGTATGTAGACAGATAGATGGATGGATAGATAGATAGATAAGTATGTAGATAGATAGATGGATGGATAGGTAGATAAAGTACACAGACAGACCGCTTTTAACATTGCCTGTAACTTCTTATCTTCTGTCCCAGAATGACGAATTCCTCAGCAAAGAGTTCCAAGAGACCATCATTGTCGCCTTGACCCCATTACTAGAAAAGAACCACCCGACCCAGGAGATCTGTGAGTTCTTCAGCAAGGTACACTAAACCCTCACATCGTCTTCTATGTTGTATGAGCCTTGGCAGTTGTAGCCTGTAGGGCCACTATCATGTTTGTAACCTGTCCGGCCACTGTTAGGTGTGAGGGGCGTGAGCTAGCTTCTTAGTGAGTGTACTGGAGGGTTAGCTCTGACAGACTGCACTCTGTAGCCTGGTCACACCGCTGGGAAACACAACCCTTCAGGTCTTCTTTGAACATTACTATTTGTATGTAGCAAATGTTTTGAGTCAAGGCAATACGGTATTTGTCTGAACAAAAGCCAGCACATATAGTATGTTATTAGTACTCTGAGACTGTTGCAGATGTATAGCATACCAGACTCTTTTTGTACAGTAAGTTTACTGATTAGACAACAGATCAGATGGTTTAGACATGTGCCAAGACTACAACCAGGTAGTGGCCCACAGAGAGTCCTGCCATCTAGACATAGTAGAAACAGAGCTGGAGGTCGACCACGCAAGTGGTGGATAGGTGGAATATCCTAACTACCGACATCTACATAGCACATACCAAGGCCTCTTTAAAACCTGATGCTGAAAGGCAAAACAGGGCCAGAGAAAAAGGAGAAATTACTGATTTACTTACAACTGTTAACTCTTTCAGCCCAAGCAGTTGTTGTTTTATCCTCAGGAGTTTAGCTTAAATGAATAAATACTCTGGTGTGGAAAAGTTCTTTAGAGACATTAAAGGGCAGACACAGTTAAACTAGCGATTTAGACACACTGAGTTATATAACAGCTGTCTCTTCTAAAAGACAGCAAGAACATCGTGACGTTTTGTTTTAAATGAACAAGAATTGCAATGGATATTGTTGGCACTGATAGAGAGCATTTATTCATCATTGTGACAATAAAATACTGATTTTATTAATTTTGAATGTGGTTTATTTTACAAAGTACTGATTTAATTACATGTAGTGTTTCATTTGGGCAAAAAACTGATTTAATCAAATCTTTTGTATCATTTATAGCAAAAAAATACTGATTTCATGACATTTAGTGTGTCATTTCTTCACTAGATTAACTGATTTAATTACATTTAATGTTTTATTTTTACAAAAAGTAACTTATTTAATTACATGTGCACAATAAGATGCTAAATTAATTACATGTCATGTGTCATATGTATATTAGGATACTCAAATGGCTACATATTGTATGTCATCAGTACATTAAGATACTCAGGTGGCTACATATTGTATGTCATCAGTACATTAAGATACTCAGGTGGCTACATATTGTATGTCATCAGTACATTAAGATACTCAGGTGGCTACATATTGTATGTCATCAGTACATTAAGATACTCAGGTGGCTACATATTGTATGTCATCAGTACATTAAGATACTCAGGTGGCTACATATTGTATGTCATCAGTACATTAAGATAATCAGGTGGCTACATATTGTATGTCATCAGTACATTAAGATACTCATGTGGCTACATATTGTATGTCATCAGTACATTATGATACTCAGGTGGCTACATATTGTATGTCATCAGTACATTAAGATACTCAAGCAGCTACATATTGTATGTCAACAGCGATTTAATATGACTGGGTCTTCTGTACACTAAGATAAGATATGATTACATATGATATGTCAGGATAAGAATGAGTTAAACAATGTCAGATTGAAGACCAGAAGTGGACAGTGTTGATGTTTGTTGCAGCATTGCAAGGACAGCCCGCGGTCTACCCTGGTCATAGAGTTGTTCACACCTGTGGTGCATAGGATATTGAAACATAATACAGTAAGTACTGACTGTGATGTGGTAATACAATTCTGGTATGTTGGGACTGAATTCTGTCATGTAATAGATTCTTTCTGTGATGTCATAGCTAATTTCTGTTGTTCTGCGATGTAGAGGTTGAGTTTTGTGATGTAATGGCTAAGTTCTGTGATGTAGAGGTTAAGTTCTATGATGTAATGGCTAAGTTGTGTGATGTAGACATTGAGTTTTGTGATGTAATGGCTAAGTTCTGTGATGTAGAGGTTGTGTTCTGTGATGTAATGGCTAAGTTCTGTGATGTAGAGGTTGAGTTCTTTAATGTAATGGCTAAATTCTGTGATGTAGAGGTTGTGTTCTGTGATGAAATGGCTAAGTTCTGTGATGAAGAGGTTGTGTTCTGTGATGTAATGGCTAAGTTATGTGATGTAGAGGTTGAGTTCTGTGGTGAAATGGCTAAGTTCTGTGATGTAGAGGTTGTGTTCAGTGATGAAATGGCTAAGTTCTGTGATGTAGAGGTTGTGTTCTGTGATGTAATGGCTAAGTTCTGTGATGTAGAGGTTAAGTTCTTTAATGTAATGGCTAAGTTCTGTGATGTAGAGGTTGTGTTCTGTGATGAAATGGCTAAGTTCTGTGATGAAGAGGTTGTGTTCTGTCATGTAATGGCTAAGTTCTATGATGTTGAGGTTGAGTTTTGTGATGTAATGGCTAAGTTCTGTGATGTAATTATTTTCATTGAGTGGTGATTTCAGTTATATCTGAACATCCTGTAATAACCGCACAGTAGAACAAACACCCTGTGATAACACCATAAAATGTCCCATGATAACACCACAGTAGAACATTATACATTAACATCACAATAGAACACCCTTGTGATAAGGCTACAATATAATTTTTTGTGATATACCACAATAGAATATTTTGTGATAGCAGCACAACAGCACCCAATGATTACAACAGAACACTCTGTGATAACAGTGTAGTATAATACTCTGTGATAACACCATGGTAAAACACCCAGTGATAACACCATGGTAAAACATCCTGAGATAACACCATGGTAAAACACCCTGAGATAACACCATGGTAAAACACCCTGTGATAACACGGTGGTAAAACACACTGAGATAACACCACAATAGAATACCCTGTGATAACACCATGGTAAAACTCTCTGAGATAACACCATTGTAAAACACCCTCTGATAACACCATGGTAAAACACTTTGTGATAACACCATAAAAGAATACCCTGTGATAACACCACAATAGAACATCCTTCAATATAAGATGATGCAAACACAGTCCCTGCTGTCTGTTGCAGGACTTTGGCAGGTATCCTCGAATGAGAACCTTTGTGCAGGAGTACATACAGGCCTTAAACTGCCAGAATGATGGTCTCAAAGTGGTGCAGGCACTAGTCAAAAGGTCAGTTGAGTAATACAATGTTTCACCATCAACACCAACACCAATATCACCACCATCATCATTTTCACCATCAACACCAACACCAATATCACCACCATGATCATTTTCATTATCAACACCCTGACAGTCAGCATTTAAATCACCATCAATGCTACATCATCATCACCAATATTATCAACACCATTATCATATCCTCATCATTATAATTCTCACAGTCACAGTGATCATTATCATTACCATCATCACATCATAATCACCACATTATTATCGCCACCGCCACCATCATCGTCACCTCTACCATTATTATCTACACCCAATGTAGAGGGAACAAGAATAGACCCCACTGCTCCCTTACAACCATGTTGTGAAAGGCCACTGATTCAAGATGTGCTGAAAACATATGTATTGGGTCGAAAACCACAAATATCACAGCCTAGCTGTAAACCATGATGTGTCAGTTGCCCTTTTTAGGATGAACGCAGAACAGAAGAAGTCTCGTCAATACGTTAAAATTATTACCATCTTAACTTTTATCAGAAATGCTGTTAGTATTATAATAACTAGCATAAATCCTCAGTTGCATCAATTTGTGGATCAGCATCATCTCATCTGAATCAGGATTGTTACAGTTATCTTCTTCTTCTTCGCATTCACCAGCTGTAAACTCTGGTGGAAGGTTCTGGTCGTAAACGTTGGTTCCTTACCTCTCAGGCAGATGCACTCTGACTTCGACGGAAACCCCAATTAGTTTACTCTTACGACATGCTTTTTGGGGAGGCACTGTGTCTGTTCTTGTTTTCCACACAATAGGGCCCGGAACCCACACAAGATTATGTCTGTTCTTGTTTTCCACACAATGGGGCCCCGGAACCCACATGAGATTGTGTCTGTTCTTGTTTTCCACACAATAGGGCCTCAGAACCCACGCGAGATTGTGTCTGTTCTTGTTTTCCACACAATAGGGCCTCGGAACCCACGCAAGATTGTGTCTGTTCCTGTTTTCCACACAATGGGGCCCCGGAACCCAACAAGATTGTGTTTGTTCTTGTTTTCCACACAATGGGGTCTCGGAACCCACACTGAGATGTTAACTGTTATCGTCATCAGCATATGTCCTCACCATTGCCATGAATATTATTTTCATCCGTTCTGTCATTCTATCCCTGTCAGGCATGAGATTGGAGGGAGAGGCAGTAACGGTAGCTTCCCCCTGGCTGGAAAGTATTACAGTCCAGCATGTTTCATTGTAACAGACTCACAAAGCATGCTTCGAAGAAATAGAGACTGACGTATCTTGCCTCCCATAATAAGACTCAGGTCAAGAACACATCTGAGGTTTTCTGCCCCACTGTATTCGGCTGTGCAGGGTAATAAGCAGACTGATAGATTGGCTCCTGCCTCTCCACTGGGTTTTAAGCTACTTTATGATACATGCATGTTGTGAAGACTGGGAATCAAGTGGGCAATACAACAGAACTGACAGAATATCTGTACCTCAACATAGATATTGACTGGGGAGTGTCAGAGCATATGGACTTTTAATCGGGTTACAGCTGACACCATTGGTATGGACACTTTGTTTGCTATTGAGGTAGGAGACAAAGTCAAGGAACCAACAGTCTGCAGACAAGCCATATCTGTAAAATGGATATGCACGCACAGCTAAGTTGTGGATCAAAACCAGAGTCTAGGAGTTGATGGACAGCCAGAACGTTCTGTCAGTGAATGCTAAAAAGAAGAAGATGATTTATTCATTCATTCACCACTGAAACTTTCTTAGAATATGATAATTCTGGTTACTGTGGCCGTCATCATGTTGCTTACCAGTAAGTCACTGCTGTGGTTGCATACAACATGTGCTCTGTACTTGTTCCCTGACAGCATGCATGGCCCAGCCAGCTCATGCCCTCATCCACGAGTCCTGCCCAACATGGTCGCTGTGTGCCTGGCTGCTATATATAGCTGTTATGAGGAAAGGAAAAAGTAAGTCATTTTTCATTGGATTTCTTCCTACTTCTGGTCTGTCTCTCTTCCACTTTCATTAGATATTTCCCTACTCCTTGGGGTGTATGTGTAGTCATCCCCACCATGTCCACACAGTATGTAGTTATAGCCAGTACTTAAGGTGTTGTATAGGCATATTGGTCGCTGCCTAAAGTCTTCATGGCAGCAAAGACCCATAAATGCCAGAAAAATATATCTTTTGGGCCGACAGGGTTAAATGAGTATCTTATCTGCCTTCTCCTTTTCTGTTGGCATAATCTGTCCTCTCAGTTCTTTATGTGATAATATGTCCACCTAGCTCTTTACCTAATGATATGTCCCCTCGGCTGTTTACCTAATGATATGTCCTCTCAGCTGTTTACATAATGAAATATCCACCCAGCTGTTTACATAATGATATGTCCCCTCAGCTGTTTACATAATGATGTGTCCCCTCAGCTGTTTACATAATGATGTGTCCCCCTCAGCTGTTTACATAATGATATGTCCCCTCAGCTGTTTACATAATGATATGTCCCCTCAGCTGTTTACATGATGATGTGTCCCCCTCAGCTGTTTACATAATGATATGTCCCCTCAGCTGTTTACATAATGATGTGTCCCCTCAGCTGTTTACATAATGATGTGTCCCCTCAGCTGTTTACATAATGATATGTCCCCTCAGCTGTTTACATAATGATATGTCCCCTCAGCTGTTTACATAATGATGTGTCCCCTCAGCTGTTTACATAATGATATGTCCCCTCAGCTGTTTACATAATGATGTGTCCCCTCAGCTGTTTACATAATGATGTGTCCCCCTCAGCTGTTTACATAATGATATGTCCCCTCAGCTGTTTACATAATGATATGTCCCCTCAGCTGTTTACATAATGATATGTCCCCTCAGCTGTTTACATAATGATATGTCCCCTCAGCTGTTTACATAATGATGTGTCCCCCTCAGCTGTTTACATAATGATATGTCCCCTCAGCTGTTTACATGATGATCTGTCCCCTCAGCTGTTTACATGATGATGTGTCCCCCTCAGCTGTTTACATAATGATATGTCCCCTCAGCTGTTTACATAATGATATGTCCCCTCAGATGTTTACATGATGATATGTCCCCTCAGCTGTTTACATAATGATATGTCCCCTCAGCTGTTTACATAATGATATGTCCCCTCAGATGTTTACATAATGATATGTCCCCTCAGATGTTTACATGATGATCTGTTTTTGCCTGTCTCCTCTCAGCTCTTCACATGAGAATGTAAACGGAGAAGACTTTGACCAGATTGAGTGGGAGAACAAATTACTGTGTTATGTGTCTATGATGGAAGTCATGTAAGTAATGGATGTGTGTTGTCTCTCATACATGTATGCTGTGCGGCTGTCTGTCGCCATTCCTTCATGTAAGTAATCCATTAATTGTTGTCTGTCATACATGTATGTCGTGCATATGTCTTGTATGGCATACACTTGTCTGTTGCCCTTCCTTCGTGTAACCAAAATTGGTAGTCACATAGTTTACACTAGGTTTTGCTGATGTGTTGTTGAGACTGGCCTCTCTGTAAACTCCGGCATCAACTCTTTCAGGCTTAAGAACTTTGACAGACTTGGCTCACATTAATTTCCCTTCACAAAAATGGCAAAGGGGGGTAGTGTACAAAAAAGGCAATAGACAATGTAATATATTTCTAATCCCTACAAAAGTACATAATTTTTAATGAGGAATGAATGAAAAGTTTGAATTGGATGATATTTAAAATTTAATACAGTTATAATTAGTAGAAAAGAATAATTCAGCAGGTGTTAAGTTTACAAAGACAACATTTTACAAACAAATTCTTCACATACCATGGTTTTGCAGCCACAAGAGCAGTGAATATACAAATTTGAGAATAACACTTTAAAGTTTGTTTAATTTCCTAAAAAATTCCAAAGTTATGATAAGTTTGTGCGTTAGTTTAGCACTCAGAGGATCTAAGTTCTTACAAGAGTGCTGGACACAATTTTAAAGAAAACATTACAGAAAAATAGACACACAGTATTTACTATGTACCGCTATATACAGACTGTAGCTGCAATGATTTCAATGTAGCTTAGCCACAGTATGGTACTGTCTGAAACTGTCCTTGGATGTAAATGTGGGAGACTGTTACATCCTTCGCAGATGAAATGGGTCCTTTTGGGTTTAGTGGGTGTACTACACACCTCACATGGGTGGTCTGCTTTATAAAGACAACTGGATGCATGCCTGGTTCAAGATGCTGGACTGGGGTGCTTGATGTGTGACCTTGTCTCCTTGCAGCTTTGGTTCCTGGTTCTGGCATTGACTCAGCAGCTGCAATGAGTAGCTCGTTAATTAGCTTGAGCTACTAGTCTTTCAGTTCAGTTGTTGTTGTTCCTGGCCTCGTTTTGTTATTATGCATTGAATTTCCATGATCCACTGAAAGAGCTTTTTCCACCACTTCTTAGTTTTATGAGTGTGCAGGCCATAGTACCCGAGACTTTGGTCAGCTACATCATAACCATTCATCTTATTGTTGTGTGTGTGTCGATGACACTAGGCTTCTGCTCAACCTTTGTACTTGTCACTTCTCCAGCTGATGCATTGGTGAGAATAAGCAACACATGGATCATGCAGACATTGTTAATGCCATTACAGAGGTTGGATGATTGGGGGCTTTTCGGAGCAGCATATCCACATCTTTGCTAAGAGCGCAAGAATTGGGAGTTAAAGATGGGCACAGCCAGGCACTAGAAGCACACTGAACATACGAGAAGTCTTGTCAACCAGCATAGGACTGGGACTGTCAACTGCGGTACGCTGATGTAAATGTTGAAGAGGGAATCTGAGCACCTATGAACATGTCTGGAGTGCCATGAAGATAACCTAAATCATAACTCAAGCAACACAGGCTTTTTATCTTTCTTATCCTTCCAGCTTATTGCCAGCATTGATCTTGTGGAAGTTGAAAAATACTCTAGGGCCGTATGCTGCAGTTTCTCATTCCACTGGGGAAACCCAGCGTGACCACGTTGTACTGTCCCGGTGTAGTACTGCTTCTGTTTCAGAAGCACTCTGGTTGTTTAATAGCCGTCTGCAAAAATATGGTATCCAGTTGCTAGTGACCTTAGCAGTGTGTCGAAGACCTGTATGGGGTAGCTGCTTTCATTCTTATTGGTTGGATTGTAAGATTTGGTGCTTCCATAGTATGTCAGCAGATTGGCAACATAATAACTGGTTTTACTGTCTACCAACCCAAAGCTCTTGATGTGATCAGGCTTGGTGGCATTGTATTGCTTTTACTGCCATCTTCCTTTGAACCCCACAATCATTTCATCAGTGGCACTATCTGGGTAGGCGGTGAAAGCCAGTTACAACTTTTCAAGAAGCTTGTTGATGAAGGGCTCAATTTTCAGTTTTCCATCTGCATCAGGCTCTCCCACATGAAGTATTGTTTGGAATATGCTGAGAAATCTGTTCCGACTGAAGATCTGTGCATAAAAACTGGTGCTGAAAACATTAGAGGTGTGGAGAAATAATCAGGCCAGCTCAACCTCTTGCAGATTCCCATTGCCATCTGTACCGCACTGAATTTTTACAATTCATATATTATAAGATTAGTCCAGCTGGCACGGACATAATTTTTGAGAGTAGGATTGTTCTGTTTTCTTCAATGCGGCATACATGTTTGTTGCATCCAGCAGAGAAGTCTGTAGTTCATCATCAAACAGAGCCAGAGATCAATCAAGAAGAGTTGAGCTTTCAGATACCAATTCAAGGTTTACTCCTGGAGTTGTTTTGGGACTAAAACTAAAAGTATTCAAGGTCCTGGAAAAAGCTCCATGCTCGACACTTTCCCATCCTTCACCAGAATAGGTCTTTCTATTTGCTTGGAGCACTTTCCTTCTCTTACATCCTAAATACTGTACCAATGGAACATTCTCTGTGTCAGATTCATCAAAACCTGTATTCACTTACAGCTGACCGCTGGTAAAAATTCACCGCCTAAATCACTTTCTGGAAAATCTAAATTTTCATTATCATTCTTAGAATTATAAAAATCTAACTGAAACAATTTCAGAGCTTCGGCAGCAGAAAGACGCTTTTTGGGACCTGTACTAGTGGTTGGAAAGTTAGTATCCATGGCACTCGAACACCAACTTAGAAAATACACTCTTGAAAATAATGCTAGCAATGAGTCGGATCAGTATGTGCCCACATGTCTTGGAACACAGACTTTTATTGAACATTAGAATAACCTTGCCTGAATACTTTAATTGTCGTTCCGAACATTAGAAATGAATACGGAGGCGTATGTGAAGCAGTATGTACGGGACACACGATCGACACTGACAGTGTTGTTTGGGCATATCAGAACTTCTCAGTCAACACTCACAGCGTTGCCAGGGCCTTAAATAGTTAAGTTCTACTTGCTCCTCCCAGTCTAGATTTTGTTTTTTTTCCAGGACTTGAGGGTTGTGTGCACATTTATTTTACAGATATGGCTTATTTGTCTGCAGACTGTTGGTTCCTTGCCTCTGAGACAGATATGCTGTGACTGAATGAAATGTTGATTCTATCTGTGTTGGCCAGGTTGCCAGTAGGGAACCTTTTTGAAGGACAGCCATCCAGAGGTTTAGATTGCTCCTGGCCAGGTAGTTTTTCATGCACAGACAGGAGTCGGTGCTCACCTCAGAGAGTCTTAAAAAGGTGTCGGTGCTCACCTCAGAGTGTCTTAAAAAGGTGTCGGTGCTCACCTCAGAGTGTCTTAAAAAGGTGTCGGTGCTCACCTCTCAGAGTGTCTTAAAAAGGTGTCGGTGCTCATCTCAGAGTGTCTTAAAAAGGTGTCGGTGCTCATCTCAGAGTGTCTTAAAAAGGTGTCAGTGCTCATCTCAGAGTGTCTTAAAAAGGTGTCGGTGCTCACCTCAGAGTGTCTTAAAAAGGTGTCGGTGCTCATCTCAGAGTGTCTTAAAAAGGTGTCGGTGCTCACCTCAGAGTGTCTTAAAAAGGTGTCGGTGCTCATCTCAGAGTGTCTTAAAAAGGTGTCGGTGCTCACCTCAGAGTGTCTTAAAAAGGTGTCAGTGCTCATCTCAGAGTGTCTTAAAAAGGTGTCGGTGCTCACCTCAGAGTGTCTTAAAAAGGTGTCGGTGCTCATCTCAGAGTGTCTTAAAAAGGTGTCAGTGCTCACCTCAGAGTGTCTTAAAAAGGTGTCAGTGCTCATCTCAGAGTGTCTTAAAAAGGTGTCGGTGCTCACCTCAGAGTGTCTTAAAAAGGTGTCAGTGCTCACCTCAGAGTGTCTTAAAAAGGTGTCAGTGCTCACCTCAGAGTGTCTTAAAAAGGTGTCAGTGCTCACCTCAGAGTGTCTTAAAAAGGTGTCAGTGCTCATCTCAGAATGTCTTAAAAAGGTGTCGGTGCTCACCTCAGAGTGTCTTAAAAAGGTGTCAGTGCTCATTTCAGAGTGTCTTAAAAAGGTGTCGGTGCTCACCTCAGAGTGTCTTAAAAAGGTGTCAGTGCTCACCTCAGAGTGTCTTAAAAAGGTGTCAGTGCTCACCTCAGAGTGTCTTAAAAAGGTGCCGGTGCTCACCTCTGTGTTTTTAAAATGTGCCGGTGCTCATCTCAGAGTGTCTTAAAAAGGTGTCGGTGCTCATCTCAGAGTGTCTTAAAAAGGTGTCGGTGCTCATCTCAGAGTGTCTTAAAATGGTGTCAGTGCTCACCTCAGAGTGTCTTAAAAATGTGCCGGTGCTCACCTCAGAGAATCTTAAAAAGGTGTCAGTGCTCACCTCAGAGTGTCTTAAAAAGGTGCCGGTGCTCACCTCAGAGTGTCTTAAAAAGGTGTCGGTGCTCACCTCTCAGTGTTTTTAAAATGTGTCGGTGCTCACCTCTCAGAGTGTCTTAAAAAGGTGCCGGTGCTCACCTCAGAGTGTCTTAAAAAGGTGCCGTTGCTCACCTCAGAGTGTCTTAAAAAGGTGCCGGTACTCACCTCAGAGTGTCTTAAAAAGGTGTCAGTGCTCACCTCAGAGTGTCTTAAAAAGGTGCCGGTGCTCACCTCAGAGTGTCTTAAAAAGGTGCCGGTGCTCACCTCAGAGTGTCTTAAAAAGGTGCCGGTACTCACCTCAGATTGTCTTAAAAAGGTGTCAGTGCTCACCTCAGAGTGTCTTAAAAAGGTGCCGGTGCTCACCTCAGAGTGTCTTAAAAAGGTGCCGGTGCTCACCTCTCAGTGTTTTTAAAATGTGCCGGTGCTCACCTCAGAGTGTCTTAAAAAGGTGCCGGTGCTCACCTCAGAGTGTCTTAAAAAGGTGCCGGTGCTCACCTCAGAGTGTCTTAAAAAGGTGCCGGTACTCACCTCAGAGTGTCTTAAAAAGGTGTCAGTGCTCACCTCAGAGTGTCTTAAAAAGGTGCCGGTGCTCACCTCAGAGTGTCTTAAAAAGGTGCCGGTGCTCACCTCTCAGTGTTTTTAAAATGTGCCGGTGCTCACCTCAGAGTGTCTTAAAAAGGTGCCGGTGCTCACCTCAGAGTGTCTTAAAAAGGTGCCGGTGCTCACCTCAGAGTGTCTGTTACAGTACAAAATACATTAGGGGTGCCAGTACTGCATACCGTTAGAAAGCAAGCCTTGGTTGTGACTAATCTCGGATCTGGTTCTGGCTGGTAACCACCACATGTGGTCATAGGAAAGCACAGAATAAACACGCTGGACTCTACAAATGGTGAAACTATGGGGGTGACTGCAGTCAAGCTAATACAATGAATTCCAGAAAAATTTGACTAAAAAGCTCAACAAAATGGGAAAGAGGAAATCGTGCACAAAACAACACAACGTAACGTTTCGGCCAGGCAGCCTATTTCAAACATAAGTGAAATACACAGACGAGGAATGGAGAGTATGTAGATCTCTAAGGGGTGACGTGAGCGACGTTTAAAAAAATGTGATGCGGAATAAATGAAATAAGATAAAATAAACGATGGCTAAAAAATATAGTAACAATACTGGGAATAGAAGAAATGCAAGTGTTAATGATACATAAATGATACTGATAAGAAATAGAATAAAGTAATAATATGAAATAAAATAAAATAATTAACATTTAAAATGTGATAAGATTAGAACTATTTAGATGAAGGTATGTTGGATATTGATACCACTTGGACTAAGAACGCCAAGGCTGTGGGTAAGGCGATTTTCAAAAGCGAAGCGGGTGTTTGAAAAAGGCTGACCAGCCGAAACGTTACGTTGTGTTGTTTTGTGCACGTTTTCCTCTTTCCCATTTTGTTGAGCTTTTTATTTAGTCCAATTTCTCTGGAATTCATTGGACTCTACAAAGCATCTTACAAGGTGCCACTAACAAGGTTTGGCCTCTGCAAATGAATAGTTGTGAAAGACTACAAGAAAGTATTTTATGTGTGCTATAAACATTTTTGTCTGTTGGTTGAATAATTACTGAATAATTTTGACTTTGTACTTGGTGGCTTCACTATTTCTTTCAGGAATCCCAGCTGTGATTTCATATTTTGAATTTAAATAATGAGTACGGAGCAGTTATTGCCTCTCATATGTCACTGTATCTCGCCAGGGGGCACGACGACAGTCAACATCAACATATAATAAAGCACAAAATATTAATCCCATTCAGCTGAAATATACAAACACACAAGAGAATCTGATTTGCGTTTTTCGGTTGAACAGATTCAGTTTTGGCATTATTAGCCATGCACTTCACTATTTGTTTAATCCGTGATTGAATTTCTTATTTCATGTGTTTGTGGTGATCTGTTTGTCTTCTGTAGGTCAGAGTTCAATGATTGGCGCTATGTGCTTGGCAGTTTGTTACAGCCCATCCCTTTCCCAGATGAGTAAGTAGATTAGTTTTGACATTTTCCTTAGTTTGTTAACAAGGATTTTCCTTTGGGGATGAACTTCAGCTGTGTATCAGTTCTCTTTCTTTGGGGATTAACTTCAGCTGTGTATGTTCTCTTTCTTTAGGGATGAACTTCAGCTGTGTATCAGTTCTCTTTCTTTGGGGATGAACTTCAGCTGTGTATGTTCTCTTTCTTTGGGGATGAACTTCAGCTGTGTATGTTCTCTTTCTTTAGGGATGAACTTCAGCTGTGTATCAGTTCTCTTTCTTTGGGGATGAACTTCAGCTGTGTATGTTCTCTTTCTTTAGGGATGAACTTCAGCTGTGTATGTTCTCTTTCTTTGGGGATGAACTTCAGCTGTGTATGTTCTCTTTCTTTGGGGATGAACTTCAGCTGTGTATGTTCTCTTTCTTTAGGGATGAACTTCAGCTGTGTATGTTCTCTTTCTTTTGGGATAAACTTCAACTGTATATGTTTTCTTTCTTTGGGGATGAACTTCAGCTGTGTATGTTCTCTTTCTTTGGGGATGAACTTCAGCTGTGTATGTTCTCTTTCTTTAGGGATGAACTTCAGCTGTGTATGTTCTCTTTCTTTGGGGATGAACTTCAGCTGTGTATGTTCTCTTTCTTTAGGGATAAACTTCAACTGTGTATGTTCTCTTTCTTTGGGGATGAACTTCAGCTGTGTATGTTCTCTTTCTTTAGGGATAAACTTCAACTGTGTATGTTCTCTTTCTTTGGGGATGAACTTCAGCTGTGTATGTTCTCTTTCTTTGGGGATGAACTTCAGCTGTGTATGTTCTCTTTCTTTGGGGATGAACTTCATCTGTGTATGTTCTCTTTCTTTGGGGATGAACTTCAGCTGTGAATCATTTCTCTTTCTTTGGGGATGAACTTCAGATGTGAATCATTTCTCTTTCTTTGGGGATGAACTTCAGCTGTGACTCAGTTCTCTTTCTTTGGGGATGAACTTCAGCTGTGAATCAGTTCTCTTTCTTTGGGGATTAGCACTAATGGCTGTATGTCGGCCTTTATGGGGCTGTTTCAGCAACCGGAAGTGACAAGGTTTAACCTTCTCAGACAAAAGGATTAAACAGACGTAACAGACAAGCAGCATGCCAAAGACAGGCAATAAGATAAATTTCCTTTTATTTCTTCCAAGGCTCATAACATATGAGTGCATTTGTGTGTCCCTATATATACATATGTGTGTGTGTGTGTGTGTCCATCTGTGTGTGTATATTTGTATGTATGCATCCGTGTGTGTTGAGGAGGGGAGGGGGAGAGAGTAGCAGCTAAAATATTAATGAAAACCTCTCTGTGATAGCATTTGAGCTTGTCACACAGTGCCACTTACAGTTACCATGACAACCGTCCATATATTCAGCTGGTATCTGTTGACTGAAATGCCATCTGTTTGCCCAAACGCCAGCACATGCAACGCTTGCCGATTATGTATTTAATTATACATTTGGCATTTTCAAAGCATTGACTGTGGAATCGAGATCCACAAATGCAACAGGTCATTGGGTAATCGCTGTTGCCAGGTTTTTTTGTGGGCCGGCCACGTCAGCCAGTCTGTGTCGACTGCTGATGATTCAGAATCTGTAAACGTTTTCACAGTAATAGATTTGTGTCAACTCAGGGAATCGGATCAATGCCTGACAATTATACATGTACAGGATTGGGGCTTGAGATGTAGTGATCATTGCTGAATAGCCCGTGTGTCTAAAGTTGTGTGTAATTAATGTTGCAAATAAGGAAACAGAGGATGGTTAACCCCTCTTTCTTGATGCCTGCAATGTGGGTTATAAATATATATATTTACAAGTTGAGTTGAGTCAAGAATTGACATCATATCACTTGGGGCATTCCCATGCATTCTCTGTCCTCATCTTTAGCAGCCAGTACAGAGTTCCAGTATTGATGGTACGGGTCATAATCTGGTTATATGTCGCTCTTGCCTTTCCTCTGAGTGTAGCGAGCTGACCAGACCCTCTGTTTACACCCAGATGCTTCATTCTCTCCAGGCCATAATATTATTCTATCTCTACTGATTCCGTTGCTTGTCCCAGAGGGCTTTGACCACATCTGCCTTGTCTTGTATCAGTTCACCACCCAGTAGTGCAGATCTAGCCAATCTATTGTGTATACATATATATTTACAAAAGATATGTTATTACTACCAACTTGATGCCATTGATGCCAGACATGGGAAGTCCTAGAAAATATAGATCAACATTAGTGTCTTTCCTGTTTGGAACCTGTAATAGCAGATGGTGGCAGATGGAAAAAGAATAGAAATGAGGACCACAAATGTCTGCAGCACGACTGTAGTTTAAATATCTAGGCAAATGAAGAACACTTCAAACTTGGAAATATCGGGGTTTTTATGTAGGTGTAACACTGATGCTGCAGGGTGGAACGGCCCAGACAATTAACAAGTGGTTAGAAAGTTGAAACAAGTTTCCAGATTTGTGTATATACCACAGTTGTGTCTTATTTCTTCAAAACAAATAACAATCAAATTCACGGATTTTGCGGAGATTGCATAACAAGAGAGTTGTTGAAAGAATTATAAATAAGCAAGTGACATATTTTGTCCACATTCAAAATGAAAAGACTTTCAAAAACTCGAAGGAAAGGAGAAGTTAAAGATAGGTGAGCCAGCGACAGGTAGATAGCCGTTTAAGTGGGAAGGTAGCATCAAGGAATGGACAGATAGCAGTCTGTCAGAGTGTACACCCAGGGTGAGAGTTGAAGATAGGTGAGCCAGCAACAGGTAGATAGCCGTTTAAGTGGGAAGGTAACATCAAGGAATGGATAGATAGCAGTCTGTCAGAGTGTACACCAGGGTGAGAGTTGATGAGTGTGGCAGCCAACCTGTGTTGTTGAGATGACACCCGATTGATTAGTAGACAATGTGCCTTGTCTTCTCTGACCAGGGGGTAGAATGCTGGTCCCACTTTCTGCACATTAACAATTCCTGGGCAGTGGGAAATTATAGACTATACTTTATGGTCCACTGATCTGACTAAACTAGAAACCCGATCTGCATTGGACTAATTAAAGCATGCATGAATGAGTTTGTGTACTTATCTGAGAAGCTGCTAATGTTTCCTGTAACAGATGTACTCCTTCTGTTTAAAAAAAAAAAAAAAATTCTCACTGGAGAGTAGACCCACAGACACACGTATGCTAAACAGTTCAGTCTTTGGCTGTGTCTTGCTGCTGTATGTGCCCCCACCCCCACCCCCATATCATCATCATCAAGTGCCTCACTAACTGTCATAGGTAATCGTGCCTCCCCACAACCTGCAATCTCCAGCAGCATGTATCAGTTTGTGTGCTGATATGCCCTCCATGCCAGCACAAAAGCTTGTCCAGAATCTTCTCATCCTGTCTTCTTCTATCTCTCTCTCTGACCACAGATCTTTCCAGTGGTTACAACATGTTCCACTTTCCCCTCTTCTCATCCTGTCTTCTTCTATCTCTCTCTCTGACCACAGATCTTTCCAGTGGTTACAACATGTTCCAGTTTCCCCTCTTCTCATCCTGTCTTCTTCTATCTCTCTTTGACCACAGATCTTTCCAGTGGTTACAACATGTTCCAGTTTCCCCTCTTCTCATCCTGTCTTCTTCTATCTCTCTCTGACCACAGATCTTTCCAGTGGTTACAACATGTTCCAGTTTCCCCTCTTCTCATCCTGTCTTCTTCTATCTCTCTTTGACCACAGATCTTTCCAGTGGTTACAACATGTTCCAGTTTCCCCCTCTTCTCATCCTGTCTTCTTCTATCTCTCTCTCTGACCACAGATCTTTCCTTTGGTTACAACATGTTCCAGTTTCCCCTCTTCTCATCCTGTCTTCTTCTATCTCTCTTTGAGCACAGATCTTTCCAGTGGTTACAACATGTTCCAGTTTCCCCTCTTCTCATCCTGTCTTCTTCTATCTCTCTCTCTCTCTCTGACCACAGATCTTTCCAGTGGTTACAACATGTTCCAGTTTCCCCTCTTCTCATCCTGTCTTCTTCTATCTCTCTCTCTGACCACAGATCTTTCCAGTGGTTACAACATGTTCCAGTTTCCCCTCTTCTCATCCTGTCTTCTTCTATCTCTCTTTGACCACAGATCTTTCCAGTGGTTACATGTTCCAGTTTCCCCTCTTCTCATCCTGTCTTCTTCTATCTCTCTCTGACCACAGATCTTTCCAGTGGTTACAACATGTTCCAGTTTCCCCTCTTCTCATCCTGTCTTCTTCTATCTCTCTCTGACCACAGATCTTTCCAGTGGTTACAACATGTTCCAGTTTCCCCTCTTCTCATCCTGTCTTCTTCTATCTCTCTTTGACCACAGATCTTTCCAGTGGTTACAACATGTTCCAGTTTCCCCTCTTCTCATCCTGTCTTCTTCTATCTCTCTCTCTGACCACAGATCTTTCCTTTGGTTACAACATGTTCCAGTTTCCCCTCTTCTCATCCTGTCTTCTTCTATCTCTCTTTGAGCACAGATCTTTCCAGTGGTTACAACATGTTCCAGTTTCCCCTCTTCTCATCCTGTCTTCTTCTATCTCTCTCTCTCTCTCTCTGACCACAGATCTTTCCAGTGGTTACAACATGTTCCAGTTTCCCCTCTTCTCATCCTGTCTTCTTCTATCTCTCTCTCTGACCACAGATCTTTCCAGTGGTTACAACATGTTCCAGTTTCCCCTCTTCTCATCCTGTCTTCTTCTATCTCTCTTTGACCACAGATCTTTCCAGTGGTTACAACATGTTCCAGTTTCCCCTCTTCTCATCCTGTCTTCTTCTATCTCTCTCTCTGACCACAGATCTTTCCTTTGGTTACAACATGTTCCAGTTTCCCCTCTTCTCATCCTGTCTTCTTCTATCTCTCTTTGAGCACAGATCTTTCCAGTGGTTACAACATGTTCCAGTTTCCCCTCTTCTCATCCTGTCTTCTTCTATCTCTCTCTCTCTCTCTGACCACAGATCTTTCCAGTGGTTACAACATGTTCCAGTTTCCCCTCTTCTCATCCTGTCTTCTTCTATCTCTCTCTCTGACCACAGATCTTTCCAGTGGTTACAACATGTTCCAGTTTCCCCTCTTCTCATCCTGTCTTCTTCTATCTCTCTTTGACCACAGATCTTTCCAGTGGTTACATGTTCCAGTTTCCCCTCTTCTCATCCTGTCTTCTTCTATCTCTCTCTGACCACAGATCTTTCCAGTGGTTACAACATGTTCCAGTTTCCCCTCTTCTCATAATATGACCAAATCATGTCTCCTTCTGATGTTTGTGTCTTTCAAAACATCTGGGTTGTTCTTTTTGGCTGTCTAAAGCATTTGAAACATTCTTCTGTAAAACCTCAACTCTAATGCTTTAAGAAATTATTAGGTTTGTTTGTTAACTCTTTGAGTCCCAAGGAACTCATCATACATTCATAGATTCCTACTTAGAAGCCCAATGAACGCAAGATGCGCCGATTTTACATCTCTTTTGACTACCCCTTAGGTCTTTGATGCTAAACCCACTGGGACTCAAAGAGTTAATTGTTTAGGATTGACACTCAAATGTTAAATCTGTCTCTATTCTAGCATGTGAGAATTATTTTTCTAACCTCCCATTGCAGGAATTTATTGCATAATTTCTTTATCCCCCCCGCACACTGACATTATATAGGGTTATAATAATACACACAGGAAAGAGCTGACCAGCTGGCTGGTAACCCACAGACACACACAGGAAAGAGCTGACCAGCTGGCTGGTAACCCACAGACACACACAGGAAAGAGCTGACCAGCTGGCTGGTAACCCACAGACACACACAGGAAAGAGCTGACCAGCTGGCTGGTAACCCACAGACACACACAGGAAAGAGCTGACCAGCTGGCTGGTAACCCACAGACACACACAGGAAAGAGCTGACCAGCTGGCTGGTAACCCACAGACACACACAGGAAAGAGCTGACCAGCTGGCTGGTAACCCACAGACACACACAGGAAAGAGCTGACCAGCTGGCTGGTAACCCACAGACACACACAGGAAAGAGCTGACCAGCTGGCTGGTAACCCACAGATGCAATCAGGAAGAGGCATGGACAGCTGGCTGGTAACCCACAGACACAATCAGGAAGAGGCATGGACAGCTGGCTGGTAACCCACAGATGCAATCAGGAAGAGGCATGGACAGCTGGCTGGTAACCCACAGACACACACAGGAAAGAGCTGACCAGCTGGCTGGTAACCCACAGATGCAATCAGGAAGAGGCATGGACAGCTGGCTGGTAACCCACAGACACAATCAGGAAGAGGCATGGACAGCTGGCTGGTAACCCACAGATGCAATCAGGAAGAGGCATGGACAGCTGGCTGGTAACCCACAGACACACACAGGAAAGAGCTGACCAGCTGGCTGGTAACCCACAGATGCAATCAGGAAGAGGCATGACCAGCTGGCTGGTAACCCACAGACACACACAGGAAAGAGCTGACCAGCTGGCTGGTAACCCACAGATGCAATCAGGAAGAGGCATGGACAGCTGGCTGGTAACCCACAGACACAATCAGGAAGAGGCATGGACAGCTGGCTGGTAACCCACAGATGCAATCAGGAAGAGGCATGGACAGCTGGCTGGTAACCCACAGACACACACAGGAAAGAGCTGACCAGCTGGCTGGTAACCCACAGATGCAATCAGGAAGAGGAATGGACAGCTGGCTGGTAACCCACAGACACAATCAGGAAGAGGCATGGACAGCTGGCTGGTAACCCACAGATGCAATCAGGAAGAGGCATGGACAGCTGGCTGGTAACCCACAGACACACACAGGAAAGAGCTGACCAGCTGGCTGGTAACCCACAGACACACACAGGAAAGAGCTGACCAGCTGGCTGGTAACCCACAGACACACACAGGAAAGAGCTGACCAGCTGGCTGGTAACCCACAGACACACACAGGAAAGAGCTGACCAGCTGGCTGGTAACCCACAGACACACACAGGAAGAGGCATGGACAGCTGATATATTATCAGTGCTGTACGTACTAGGTTAGGGGTTGATGATGATTCTGTGACGCTAATACAGTTGCAGGACCTGAAGGAAAACTTGGTGAAGCACGTCTTTGCCGTCTCTGAAGTCAGAACAGGGGACACTTTAACCAGCTTCTCATGGGAACAATTAGTAGAAGTATCTTGGAGTGGCTGCTGTATTGGAGGACTGAGCATGCATGGGAATGTCTAATGTGCAGTTATGTGAGTTGTGATAACATAAAATTTACGTACATAAATAAGAAGCACACATGGAGCAAGGTAGACCTTGGAAGATATATTGACTGGAGTTGACTTCAGTCACAGGAAAATACACTGCAACACAGTTGATATAAATGAGAAGTGGAGAGTGTTTTCTAACACTGCACTTGTATTATTCGAATATACCATTTTCATATTGTAGAGAGAGAGAGAGTGAGAGAGAGAGAGAGAGAGAGAGAGAGAGAGAGAGAGAGAGAGAGAGAGAGAGAGAGAGAGAGAGAGAGAGAGAGAGAGAGAGAGAGAGAGAGAGAGAGAGAGAGAGAGTGTGTGTGTGCTTGCATGTGTGTGTGTGTGTATGTGTGAGTTTTTTTTTTACATGTACATTTTACAATACTGTTTCACTTCTTATTTCTGATTTGTTACAGTGCTATTGCAGATTCCCTGTTCACATCGTAAGTATCAAATTCAGTGTGTGATGTGTGTTCTTTCTTTCTTTTGGTCAGATCTATTCTGACCTTCTTGATTATGTTTTGGACATGGGTTGTTTGTCTGTGAAATCTCTGTGCTTTTTCCCTTCTGTTTATGTATTCACTAGTGGTTTTGTAATTCATATTATTTGTTATGTTTGCCACTTGAGCTTACTAATAGTGTTACACATTATTGAAGTTCATGCTTGTGTTTTTGTCTTTCTTATTAGACTTGAGTATCTATCCAGTTCCGATGATTATAGTTATTAAATCATGTGGACACAAACAATACATTGCACAGTTTATTGCATGGCATATTTTTCTGTATCTCGTCACGAGTATTTCTTTACAGTGAAAAGTGCCAGGCAATAAATTGTGCCCTGTAGGTGTATTGTTTGTGACCACATGATTTCAATTTACAACAAGAAAACATTGTTTTGAATTATTGTTATCTCTGTAGAAACAATCCCTGCCAGTGGAGACTGTTTTCTCCTTCAGATTAACCATTTTAACCATCTTGTCCTAAAATAAGGTGGCAGGAAACATTCTGGGAGGTAAAAGTAGTCGGTAAAGATTGACCAATCACCCTTTGACCGCCAGTTGGTCTATAAAGTCATGGGTTAGCACCATGCACTCAGTATGTTTCAGGGTGGAGAAAATGGGGTCTTTATCTTCTTCATCTTTTGTCTGAGTGATGTAACTGCATTGTGACTGTTTACAGCAAAGCTGCAATATTTGCACCACTGAGCCAACACATACAGCTTCATTGGGCATTTGTTCACCGGGTTAGCCTTCCGGTTGGTTTCGTGGGACATGACGTTGCATTATTTGTGGGGTGCCCTCTTTGTCCCTTCTTCTGTAAGCGTTGCCCCTGGAGAACTCATCCAGGGCAACTGTGTGTAGACTGGTCAGACCTCAAAGGAAGGCAGGGGCAGAACACTGGCATCCCGCACCATCCAAGGAGGCTTCCAAAAATGCAGAGCCAGTACATGATGCTCTGGTTCTGGGATCACCCAAGGAGTTGTCATGACCTGCACATGTCTGCTAAACCTCACATCTGTTACTTTGGGCTTCCCACTCGTCACAGACTGCGCTGTTTAAAGATCAGCTGGGAGCAGCCTGCATATCAAAGACTTCAGTGACCTCACAGATGGGCGTAATCTTCTTGAACTCATTAGACACTTTCGACAGTGTTACACTGGGACACTTAGCAAACTTGACAGGCGATGCAGGAAGTAGAACCCTGTTGTTGTCAATGCAAAAGTCAACACTCTGATTTAAAATAAAAAATGCAGACGAGGTAGATGTACTGATATACACAGACAGATCTGTAAATACGCAAACAAAGAAGCACACAGGCTTTCACAGTGCGCAGAACAGTCAAAAAAGTCAACGGTGTCTTCTCCATTACAACCAGCAGCATGACAATAGAGATGATGGCAATAATGCAAGCTTGCGCGTTGCTCGAAATACAAAACTATACCCGCTCATGTGTACTCAGTGAAACAGAAAGTATGATCTGAAGGGTTCAGGTAGGTTCGGTACGAAGGCAGTTGCTTGAGTCATTATAGAAGTCTACTGTGCTTGGAGTCACCTTTATTTTCATACGCGGGCATCAATGAGAATGAAGGAGCTGATAGGTTGGCTGGATCTGCTATCACTACCGATGGTCAGCCTATGGATCATGCCAATATTATTAATACCCTCTGAAAAATAAGAAAGGTGGAGGACTTTGGGGGCAGTGAATTCACATTACTTGCCAGAATGATAGATTTGGGAGTTAAGATCAGAATAGCAAAAAACTAGACAAACAGCCGGCACATCAGAGGACTTGTTAATCAACATAGAGCTGGTACTATAAGCCATCAAACACTGGGGTTCATACAGAGGATAGGATCTGAACACTTAAGGACATATTTGGAGTCTAGTGATGATAACCCATTACCTAACTAACTAACTGACTGACTGACTCATTGAGCACAGCAGTATAGGAAAAGCATGCATCAGGCATGGCTTTGTCCGTTCGGTGCCGATACTCAGACATGTGGGGCCAGTAGTAGCGGAAATGTGAACTTTTCTGTCAGACAGTGGGACAGCTTATGGGTCTACATAAATGAGAACTTTTATTTTGCTTTTAACGGTCAAAATAATCATGAAATGTCTTTATTATTTCTGCTCTTTCATACGAATGTTTACTGTAAATGCAGTCTGGTGTTACTTTTGGGGTTAAAATGCTGCACATTTTTCCACTCACTTATGATTGTCTTCTTCTTCTTCGCGTTCACCAGCTGTACATTCTGGCGGAAAGTTCTGGTTGCTCGTCCACTACTGAACTGCAGTCCTGCTCCAGAACCTGAGTGTTGCGTGTGCATCAGTTTTACAGATCTCATTCTCTGGAATACAGACTGTTGGTTCCTTGTCTCTCCCGCAGATGCACTCCGACTTCAAAGGAAGCTCCCCAATTAGTCGACTCTTACGACATGCTTTTGGGGAGGCAGTGGGTCTATTCTTGTTTTCCCCTACAATTGGGGCCCCGGATCCCACACGGGCTACTTATGATTGTAAGTTGCCACATTTGGTCAGTGGTAAGTTCACTGTTTATATACATAAGAGAGATGGCTGTGAAAGCTCAGTCTACAAACAGCATACCACAAATCGTGGCTTACAGCTCATCTCAACAGTTTTGGCTCAGAATTCCCAGTTAGGCCTCATCATCATGTTGCAGGTCCTTTGCAGAACGTCGCTCTCATCACAGTCTGCCTGAAAGAAACTCGGTCTCTCGCCAGTTCTCCCGCCTCATGCACTTTCACACTCAAGGAGTCACTTATATCCTGTGCCCATCTTCGTGTCAGTCGGCCATTCCTTCCTGGTACCATGCCTTCTGCTATATTTTTTTCCAATCCGTCGTGGCGCTTGATATGACCAAAATATTTCAGTTTTCGAGAAAGGATGCTGTTTATTAGCCTATGCATACCAAACATATTTTATTCCCACCGTATAAGTCAACCCATGATGTTAAAAAAAAAAAAAAAGGTAAGCTTGAGGACTCGATTGATATTCCACGAGTTACAGCATAAAATAGAATATTTGTTTAGGGCTGTGTTTGTTGCGTATTTAAGAAAGAAGCTGTGAAGGCTCTGTCCACTTGACAAACAACATAATATCAAATAAATTTGTAACCGTGCCTGCTGTGCTATTTGTGTCTACTGCCACACAACCTACCATCAGGCAGTTAATCAATGACATTGGCAGGAATCAACATCTGTGACAGTATGTGCTTGTATTTTGGGAAGTAGGTAATTGTTTTAGCCTCTGGTGGTATGTGTCAAGTGAACTCTTGACAAACAGATTCTGGGTCTACCTGTTATTACAGAAGAATTGATTTCTGTGTTTGCTCATACATGTTTAACCTTTCAGTGGCTCCCACTTGTGTTGATTGTGTTCGGGGACAGAAAGTGAACTTTCATTGTGCAATATGACTTCAAGTGTGATTACAGCTCTACCTACCCACCTACCCACCTTCTGACATTTTCCCACAAATGGTGCATAGGCCTCCAGCCAGCTGACGTCAGAACATGCTATTCCTTGTTAGTTAGTTAGTTGGGTTATCCTCATTGCACTCCGGACATGTCCATAGGTGCTCAGATCCTCCCCTCAGTATGAACCCCAACGTCCGATGGCTAATAGTACCAGTTCTATGTTGATTAACAAGTCTTCTGGCGTGTCTGGTGTGCGTCTCGTTTTTTGCTGTGCCGATCTTAATTCCCAAGTCTGCCAATCTGGCGAGTGATGTGGATTCACTGCCACCAAAGTCGTTTATCCTTCCCATTTCTCTGAGGGCATTGATAATATCAGCATGATCCATAGGCTGACCGTCGGTAGTGATAGCGGATCCAGCCAACCTGTCAGCTCTTTCATTTCCATCGACACCTGCGTGTCCCGGAACAAAAATAAAGGTGACTCCACGGATAGTGGACTTCTGTAATGATTCAAGCCATTGTCTTCGCACTGAACCTGCCTGAACCCTCCGGATCATACTCATTGAATCACTGAGTATACACACACGGGTGTATTTTTGTGTTTCAAGCCAGGCAAGCGCTTGTGTCACTGCCATCACCTCCATCGTCATGCTGCTGGTTGTCATGGAGAAGGCGCCGTCGCATGCATGTCTCCTTCATGTCCTCTCCATGTTTCTTGGTCTGCCATTATTTCTATGCCCTGTGGTTTCCAACTCAGAGACATTGTGTTTTGTTCTCGATGTTCTCACTGTGTGTTCTGTCTAGCACTAACATCTTTTTCTTTATCTCCTGATTCACTGGAATTTGTTTAGTTGTCTCAGAGCTGCACACGAGTGATTCTACTGTCCATGTAAGCTGATCACAGTTGTGCCTTGCTGACATTCATTGCTGAGAACTTCCTGATAAAAAAGCCACAATCACTGATGGCTCTAACCATATAATATTTCTTATTGATTTTTTTATGTGGGCTCCAGTAGTGTCAAATATGTATGGCAATTGCACATCAACTATTCACCTGTAAAAGCTTAATGTGATGGTTGATGATAGCTACCTGAGGCTGTAATGTCAGCTATGAGGTTGGTGTTTTCTCTCCAGAATCATCAAGTAAAATCAGTGGTCATTTGGACACATCTCTTTCTATCACCAGGCGTTTTGACTCTGACACATGACACGCACATAAATTAGACACATCAAGTGCATTGTGTAATCTATGTTATCCTGATTTATGTATGTCCGTTTGAGAGTTCTCATTTATGTAAGTATATATGTCTGCGTTGTCATTTTGTGTTTGTGTCTGAGTTCGAGTTCTCATTTGGGTGTTTATTTATGAGAATTCCTATTTGTTTGTTTGTATGAGAGTTCTCATTTAAGTATATTGTGAGAGTTCATGTGTGTGTTTGTTTTGGACTTTTGTCTTGTTCCAGAATTAGACTTTTGCATGCACATCTGTTTCACCAGTATGGCTTA